ACTCTAGTTGCATCATAGAGAGAGAGAGATCAGCTTACAAATTAATGGCATCTTGTTTGTCTATGTCCATGTATGCATTATTATAATACCGCTGTAGAGTCCTGAAGAACTCCTGTGACTGAGTTGCTGCTCTCCACTGGCCTCTCCTCTCAGAGAAAACCTAGCGCACACCAGAAAATCTAGGATTCAACAAAGCCGTTCTACAAAGTAACAGGTATAATAATAATAATAATTTATGTCCATCATCGGACTCAATGCCAGTGATGCCCTTGACATTGCTCAACCAAGAATCGGCGCGAACATTGATTGAAGTAAAAGTACGTAAAAGGAAACAAAAAGTGGACAAATAACATTTATCTTAAGCCTCCTGCATCCTCCAACTTAAAACCTAAACTAACTGAAATTAGAGCCCTCATTGAGAAAAAGAAAGAACATAAATGATACCTAAAAGTTGTTTAATTATGAGCACTTGTAATTCTAGATTTTTACAATTTCTAGAACCAGGTAATAGAGCTGGAATGATTCCACCATATCGGAGTAGTAAATCTGGCCAGTGGCATTTCAGAAGATATGCAAACATAAGAACGAAGAAATAATTATCATCCTTAGTGCCACCCATCATGCATAACTTACTGTGGTCCAAGTTATAGGACAATAACCAGAGAAGTATCGACCATGAATGTGCACAACTACAACAGATGAGCAATTAATAAGTATAGAGAAATTAATACCTGAATCAAGATCTAAGCTTTGCACATGTGAGCATTTTTATATTTGTCATGAGTTTACCTTGCTTTAACAAGATAGAGACTAATGAATTTACTCTGAAAGGATAGCAAACCTCAATGTGATCAGAAATGCAAATGTAAACAAAATGCAATATGTTCTCATTTGAGCTAAGAATTGTGGTTGTGTCACATGACTACTCATGTTCAACTAAGATCAGATGGAATGTATGTGTGCAGAATGAGCTACAACGTTTATTAGAATCAACTTACTATTTCTTACAGGATACATCAGATAAGACATCTGCTGTATAGATATATAGGGAATTCCAGTGTCACAGAGTGAACAAAATAATAATAATAATAGTGAAAATTCAACATTCGTGTCAGATTAAGAAAGAAAACATATTAGGATTACCTTGTTGTGTGCCGCAGATCCCCCATACTGCTGGGCTAGTGTGTCTCCCATTCTTTCATAAAACCCCATCAAAACAACAGCCAACGGATCATCAAGTTCTATTGCCGGGGCATCTCTGATCCCTAAAGCATGAAGCTGATATCCAAGAGCAGCCCAACCATATGCATACTGTGCAACATTTGTACGATCGAGGCAATCTATGCAATTGGTCCTTAGCACACCCTTCTGAAACCTGGGTGGCTTGGTATCACAATTGCCATTGGCAATAGTCTTACTTCCAGTAGTATTAGTCTCTGGAATGTCACAACCACCATTATCATCATCAGAATTATCTGTCTCCTCAGTGTTGGCACTGCAATTTCAAAGACATGCCTATTGTAAGCATTTTTTTTAATAGACATCGTTGGAAAGTAAAAGTTTTCTTATACAGGATTTTTTTTTATCACAGCCTTTTCTACCACGCTGCAGTCAAACACAAACCCGCTTAGTGGTAAAATATGGATGTTCAGTGACATTTAACAAGTCATCCTCATTTACAAGTCTACATCCATAAAAGACTACTAAAACAAAGAAAGAGGCATCATTCCAAGGTTTTGGCAGCAACAAGATCCATATCAACAGAGAAGGATACGGCAAGGCAACTGAGCAGATACCACAATTGTACTGGGAAGAATTTTCTCTGCATTTACAGGAAATAATTTACAAGAATTTAAGCAAAAAGGCTTACTCAGATAACGGCAAGCACATATAACCCTCAAGCATCATCGCTGGTGTAACTTGGTAGTAAAATAACCCCGTTAACATCAATGCATATGCAGCTACTTTGCCAAGAAGTGCCAAGACATTAGCCGTTTTGCTGGGAGACAGGAAAAAAAATGCTGAGCGGTTTGCATCTTCAATATCTTATATTAATATATATGTGTGTAACAGTTAGAAAACAAACAGAAAAATTATGAGATAGATACCTCTGAAAATGTTTGTGCAGATCCCAGTGCAGGAATCTTAGACGGTTTTCTTCAGATAAATCTTTATTTATAAAGTCAATAGCATTCGCAAACTCCGCCCGGAGAATTGACTCCCTTGGTTTCTTCTCTTTTGTCTGATGATTGTGAAAATAGTAGCAAGACTAAGACTATCAATCAAAATCGCATGTGGTACATCAACTGGCAAGTTTACAAAAAAAAAAAAAAAAAAAAAAAACTAGCCAGACTAGGCAACTCACCTTGATCAAGTTCAGAATGATGATGGGGTTTCCATATCGCTCTACAAGGTTTTGAAAGTGAACTCTAGTTGCATCATAATATGGGTCCTTTTTCGATACTGCATTAGACATTAATTAGTTAAACACGATCTATATATATACACATGCACATATGCATGTGTATGTACATAGATTGAGTAGGAAAGGGATGCACATATTTTTAGTAAGAAGCACAGGAACTTACAAACTATATCTGGCTTAAGGTTCAACCGAGAGGTCTCCTGTGACCAAAACAGAGGAATTGAGCCACGATTCTGTACAACAGAGCTAACTTGCATGGGATTGCCTTCGGTAACATCCTCAGACACTATCTGCTCTGTCTCGACATCATTAGCAACGCTGCCATTTTCATTCACACCTCGTTTCAAGTACCTAATGTTAAAAGATGTTAAAACAACAAAATGAGAATAATTTTCATATTTAGTGCTAAATCTAGTACAGGAACATGATCCACATCTCGTGGTACTGAAATGAACCAAATGAAAGAAATATCACAAAATACTCATGCAAAACATCTAGATACAATGAATCCTTACAGGTTTATTTTCATGGACTACATCATGTTAGTCTCTTTAAGCTTAGAATCCGATAATTTTTTAGTCATGTTGCTATGGAACCTAAAATGTAACCGGAGAGTGAAGATGAAGATTATTACCTGGTCCCAGCATTATGACGGGAACGCCTAGCAATAATAGTAAGTTTGAAATTTCGTTCAGACTCGCAAAGAGTGACCTGCATACACAAAGGTTCTGTCAGAAACTGGTTTTCAGAACATTATAAAGAGGCAACAACCAAGATATCGAATATTAAAACCCCTCTATATAATAACTGTGTATATCTGAAGCACCAGACTACAAACTGAATCACTACAACAAAATGCTGTTGAGTTTGTTTCCAGGCCATTTGGCGTGCCAAAATGATATTAACACCACACTAAGTTTCCTATACAACAGCATTTCATAAAAAGGTCTTAAGAAATAATACACCTATTTTAGATTAGCTAAGCCTTTTCTTCTAGCAAACCGCTACAGATAGACATACCAAATCTCACCTGCTTAAAGAAGCCATACACCAATGCTACAGTCCATAGGGTATTTTGAAGATGATTACGGATTCCCCTAGTCAGGAACTCATTCCACACAAACATCTTCTCATAGAGAACATGTCCAGTCTCACATTCACATATATTTTTCTGGAGACTGCGCATTATATTGTAAGAATAACTGAAAAAGAAGTCTTTTGTAAGGTCCACCACACACAGAAGTTTCTTGTATCTGTTTCACAAGGAAAGCAAAAAAAGTTGAACGAGTTCAGTTTGCATAAACATGGATGGGTCAAACTAAAAAAGAATTTAACATTTTTTTCAGGGAACATAGAAAAGAAGCAACAACCCGGAAACAGGACAAAAACAGCACAGCAAAAGAAGGATGAAAGAACCTGTTCTCATCTCTTGAATTTGCCAAGCTGCATGGTACACTGGAATTTTGCAATGTGACTATCTCAGTTTTGGAGACTGCATAGACGTTATGACCACAAATTGCACCCATCTTTCTTCTTTCGGTGATAAGCAGCATGTAATAGGGACCTAAAAACTTGATGAACCCTGTGAGACCATACAGGTGAAAATGTGAGAAAGAACTCTGAAAGTAACACAATCATTAGCTCTCACTTACCAGAATGATAAAAATACATACCGATAATGCCAAAACAAACAGTAACAAATCTAAGTCCGCCTGTGGCCTTGTTCCCTTCATGTATCCGTTTTAGCAACTCGTAGCACTCTCTCTTTGTGTAAGAAGTGGCATCCTCGCTGATGTTAAGCTCGGAAGGATCCAGCCGGTCTATCTTTAGTACCCTATAAACTCCACTGCCATCCCAACCAATCATGTAGAAGTTCTGAAGAAAAGAAAATACCATTATGAACAATTGATCGTGTTGGTCAATGTACTAAAATTCCTACCGGGCAATCGTATACTAAGAGGGTTTAAAAGAGAAGCATTCACAGCCCGACATTTACAAGACAACCTAATCAAATCTCATCCAAATCACCCTCAAAGATCCAAACTTTACAATGCCAAATACATCAATGTCACAGCCACAGAAGAAACAGAGAAAAACAGTCAAATTGCAGGAAGAGAAAATCCAAAGTGGAAGTTCTGTTTACCGATTGAGTCTCGAAGAGCTTGAATTCCTGCATAGAGGCATGGAGGGACGGGGATCCAGAGGAACCCGAGCCTTCATTCTCCGCCGGTGGAGCTGAAGCCATTGCTAATACGCAAATGTTTCGTCACTGATCTTCGACTTCCAGATCTCCCCGAGCCGCTGGCTCAGGGAAATTCTAGCCGGAGCATTCAACGGTTCCCAATTTCCGGGATGCAAAGCTCGCCGGCTAGAAATTCCGGATTCACACGCTACCAAATCAAAACACTCCCGAAACCGAACCAGATCTCCACAAGCAACAGCGACAGCAAAAATCCATACAAATCAGTGCTGTGGCTTGGTAGTTTCCAGGAACAACACGAATCTCTCTCCCAAGATTCGCACCTCGCTTTGCAGAACAATCGAGCAATCTCCAAAACAAGTCCCCAGAACCGAGGAAACAAAGAAAGATTCTCCGATCAAGGAAATACGGAAAACCCCAACAAAAAAAAAGGAATAAGCAGATAAACAAAACCGATCACAGAGGATCTGATCCGATAATCAACACCTCCGAAGCTCAAATCATCACCGAATGAAGCTCAGATTCGCAGAACCAGGAGCAGACGAACAACAAACGAAGCAAGATCACGTTGATGAAACAGAGACAAGAAGGGACGAAAATTTTCCCTTTTTCCTCGAGATTTTTTTTCAAACTGAAAAGTTTATATGGCGAAGAAGATCAACCATGGGGAGGGAGAGAGAGAGATTTCGGAGATTCGAGAAAGGAAAGGGAAAAAAGTTTTTTTTTTCTGGGGAGAGAGAGAGAGAGATGGTGTTATATGTTTCAGCTGTTTTCTTTGTTCCTCACAAGAGACAAGAAAGAGAAAATCATAGAGAGATGCAAATCACGATTTCTTCTACTTATATTTTATATTTTATTTTATTTTATTTTGGACCCGTGATCGGTGCGAGTGGTGAGCCTACGTCCACACGACAGCTGTCCGAACTCCAATGAAGGAGCTTTGCCCTTTTGACGAGTCGTCACTTTTTTGTGTGTCTACATTTAAATAGTTTTTTTATTTTGTAAAAAACATTTTTTTAATAGTTTTTACTTTTTATCAAATGGTTAATTTATAAACAATTTTCAAAATTTCCACAAAAATCGTTATAACCGCCATAGATCCGACAAACGGATGCTGACGTGACAATAGGAAACCATGATTAGAAAACCCTGCCAATTACCACGTATAAAATTGTAAATACATCCAAATACATGCATTTATGTACACATGTATACATACATATATATATATATATATATATGTTTAGGTACACGCATAAATACATATTTATATATTTCTTATTTTAATGATAAATTTAATCATTTATCAATATTTTTTAAACTTTATATTCTCATATAAATGTTATATCTAATTTACCTTCTTTTTATTTTACTTACTATGTATTCCGTTTATCATTCTATGTATATATCTATATCTATATATATTTCTGTTATATTAATATATTTTTGTATTTATATATCTATGAATCTTGTTAGATTTTTCATAGTGTATTTTTTAATTATATATATATTAGTTTGAAATCTTATTAATTATTTCGATAAAACGTGTTAGGATGTAATGTTTTTCCAAAAGATTTCTTCGTTGAATTTTATTAAATGACAAGTCTTGCCAACTTGCAATCTTACTGTTAGTATATTATGTTGAATCATTCATCTTACAGAATTTCAGTTGATTTAAATAAAAATAAAACATGTTTCTAATATGAAATTCCATTATTATTAATATTATGTTATTATTTTTATTTCTCACTTTTGGTCACATGCAAATATGAAGAGAGAAAAAAAAATCAAACCTTGACCACAAAGACAGCGCCTCCATTTCCGTTTCTAATCTCGGCGGCATTATCCCTTTCCTGCTTGAGCAGCCAATCCTTCTTCGTTTGCTGAGGACAACATCGTTCCTGCAATTCCTGTTCATGTTTCCTGATTCCGTCTTCGTGTTTCTACTCCTCCCCATCTGGAGCAATCGTGTTCATTCGGATACAAAAACACGTGTTGGGATTTTGTCGTCTTCTTCGATCCGGAAACCACAGGGGTACGTGTCTCATCCTGATCTAAGTCTCAGGTTCTTCCTCCGATTCCTTGAGCTTCCCTTTTTCCGTGTTGGGATTTAGTAATTCTGGGAAGTCTGGTGGTTGTCGAATCGTTTCTTCTCCGATTGGGTAAACCCTGTTGCTGCGATCAAGCTAGGGTTTCCGCGGTGTATAATTGTTCGGAAATTGTTGTCATTTCTGACTGTATATGCCATGATGGAGGTTAACTTGTGCTGCTTGACGGAGTAAAGCGGAAAATTGAGCTAAATTATTTATTTTTCGTTGGGTTTACCGTTTAGCTAATTTACTTTGGAAGCAGTATTTTTATGCCCTTGAATTTTCAATTCTAGGGGTGTATGAGAAATATTCATGTTTAGGTTGATAGGGAATCTGAGTTTATTGTATTGTTGTTTCTACGCCCTCATATGAATCGTCTCTACGAATTGCAGCAGCTCCATATTTTGTAGATTTTCCACATAGAGGTTTCAGCTTGGTGCATAGCAATGACGACCCTTAGTGGAAAAATTTCTTCGTATTCTTCGCTTTCTAATTTGGAGAAGAAAAGCAGCAAGTTCCATCATGATGATGATTATGGTGATGCTCCGGCGACCTCTGCGAAGAAACAATCTGACTATCCGATCATTGACTCGGAAGAAGATTACATCGATGAGGGTTATGATTCAGCTGATGAGACCTATACACCCATTCCGAGAACCGAAACTCCTGAAGTGAACTTGAAAAATGTGTTAACAGGGTTGATTGCCATTGTAACCGGGAGGAACAAGGGTCCGACTCGCTCGTTGGATCTTCATAGTAGCCCCTCCTCGAATGTCTCTTTCCTCGGTTCTAGCATGAACGGTGATACTTATGTCCATCCATCAGTTTACATCCCTAGTGCTCCACCTCTTCTTGAATCAAGCGGGATTAATTATGGTGTTCTCAAGGAATTGCTGGAAGCAGAACCTCCGGAATGGCTACCCGACAGTTCAAATACCGTTTGCATGCAGTGTTCTTCTCCTTTCACTGCTATAATTCGTGGCAGACATCATTGTAGACTTTGTGGAGGGATCTTTTGTAGAAATTGTTCGAAGGGGAGGTGCTTAATGCCGATTAAATTTCGGGAGAGAAATCCCCAAAGGGTATGTGACTCGTGTTATGAGAGACTCGATCCTTTGCAAGGGGTCCTTATCAACTCCATCAGTAATGCCGTGCAAGTAGCAAAGCACGACGTTGTGGATTGGACATGTACGAGAGGATGGCTGAACCTTCCGGTTGGTCTGTCCATGGAAGATGAGATATACAAGGCATCTAATACATTGAAAAGTTACTGCCAGGTTTGATGTCATCCATATTTTAGAGGATTCCTCTTCATAAATACTTGTGTTAATCTTTGTAGCTGATTCTGGTCCACTTATATGTCATAGTAGATGATCTGAATCATAGTTTTAGTTTCATATTTCACGATTTAGAAGTTCTTCTACCGTTTTAATTTTTTTTTGCAAAAACACGCAGGTGGCAAGCTTAAATCCTGAGAAGTCCATACCATATGCTGTTCTAGGTCAAGCTAAAGGTTTGGCAATCTTAACCGTCGCCAAAGTCGGGGCTTTGTTGGCATACAAACTCGGGACTGGACTGGTCATCTCTCGGAGGTCAGATGGGTCATGGTCTGCTCCATCTGCCATACTTTCAGTCGGCTTAGGATGGGGCGCTCAGGTAAATACCATATAATCATATGCTATTCACAATATGTTTAGTTCTACCTTCTTCGGTAATAAAACCCTTATTACTGGAAAAATGTGTAGCTGCAGTTCCTCGCAAAACATGAAAACTGTCTGCTTAGCCACTAGATTGCAAAATCTCAACATTCTATCTTGGATAAGGTCCATGTAGGTTGGGGTGGGCATGTGTGGGCACCCAGCCTCGGTCTCACCCCCTCGGGTTTTATGGTGAAAGTAACTCGGCCTCGACCTCACGAGACTCGGGTACCTGGTCCCGTGAAAGCCTGCAATTCCTAGTTGACCCGAGTTGACCATCAAATTTTGATCCGAATGGACCAAAATAGACCTACGTATTCCACTTAATCTTCATAATCATCACCGTCACCCTGCTCGACTTTGATCTTTTCCCATGGAGCCTCAGTTAACAACAATCATCCTCTTCGGTTGGGGGTTCTGTCTTCTTTACCAAATGACATGAACAACATTTCGAAATCTCCTTCTCTGCAAGTCATTTTCTTGACCACGACCCGTCAATGGAGGCAAATCCTGCAAACCCTTTTCTCTCAATCCGAGGACCTACCTTATCCAGGTGATGCATTCTCCATTTCCGCCGTGTCCTCGTGACCATACGAGGCACGTGACTTGACCCTTTTACCCCTACAATCGAGCCAAACCTGCCTGGCCCTAGCTCGGATCATTAATAACTAAACATCAGGGGTAAAATGGTCTTTTTGCATGTCCACTGTACTCGCCGGTAACCCGTCACGTGATGGCAAAACCCTCACTGAAACTGCGGTTCGGGTTCTTCGTTTCATCCCACCCGTGCTCAGCCTCGTTCGCTGCTGAGTTTACCTGCATTTCGGGTACCCTGCACGGGTATTAACGCCCACTTCAATGTGATTTATCATTATGATTTCTTTCTTTTGTTTCCAGATCGGAGGTGAATTGATGGACTTCATTATCGTGCTGCATGATTCAAGAGCGGTGAAGACATTCTGCAGCAGGATGCACTTCTCTCTCGGCGTAGGATGCAGTGCTGCGGCAGGCCCTGTCGGGAGAGTGATGGAGGCTGACCTCCGCGCTGGTGACAGAGGCTCTGGCATTTGCTACACTTACAGCCGTAGCAAAGGTATGCTCAATCACTTTCCGAAAAATCTCCACCTTATCCGTCATTGCATCCAAATTGTGAAGACCTTTAGATACGAATTCGAATCACATTGTGATGCCCGAAACTTTTGGATATGGACTCTTGAGAAACTTAAAATTTTCGGATATACAATCTATACCCACTTTAGACTTGAAATGCGATGGATGTATTTTTTTTGTGGTATGGAAAAAGGGGCATTTGTGGGAGTATCTTTGGAAGGGAACATCGTCGCGACGAGAAGAGAGACGAACCTGAAGTTCTACGGTGATCCGTACCTCACAACGACAGACATTCTACTTGGGATGGTGGACCCACCCAAGGCGGCTCAGCCTCTGTATGCTGCCCTCACCCATCTATATTCATGTTTACTCCCGTAGTGCTCATTCACATATCACATTTCATTTGGTCTGTACATACATATAGGTACGTATATATGTATACCCCTTTGCCTAATTCTCAAATCCATTTGTAAAATTCATAAATAGGAGGGGTTTTGTACATGTACATGTTCATGATGGTTTGGTATTGTGCATACCATTCATGGAACTTCTTTACACGCATGAAGTTTGCGACGGTCCACACACACATACAAAAAGATGGAATGTATGCATCAACATACCACTCTCCACTTTTATCAAAAAAAAAAAAAAGCATCATACCACTCTCCACGTTCGGACATGTTCCATTGCGTAGCACCTGACCTGACCAAAGCGAAGCGAACGAAGCCGAAACGGCCGACAAGTTCATTGCCGTTTTAGGTTATAAGGAAACCCAAATCAATGGGATCGACGACCAGTGCATGAGACGGTCCATATTCTTTTAAGCATAAAAATGTGCGGACATGTAAATGATTCTTTGTAATGGTCGGTTGCCTTTATGGATTCGAACCGGTGTATAATAATTGGGCTTTTGTATGAAATTCTAAATGGGCTTTTTCTTATATTCAGCCCATAATTCTAAATTATCGGTTCTGTACGAAACCGCAGCTGTAAACCACTTGCCATGGACAGCAACTAGGATAACCGTTTCATCCTTTGAAGGTATCTAACTTAATAAATATCCGAATAAAAGATATTTAAGATAACGATGATGATCGAGTATTAACGAGACTAAGTTTTCATCCGAATCCGAATTCAGATTTTAACTATTTTAAAATGAGTAATCGATATATTTATTAAAAATCTAAAATATCTTATATATTTATAATATTTATCTAAGCTATTCTTATTATTTATCAAATGCGTGTTCACCCCTCACACCCACCCTTGTGGACTTTTGTCAGCCATGTACGGCTTGTTTTGTGCAGAACCGATAATTTATTTTCGAATATACATCTTTACATCCGACCAATAATAACTACTTCTGGTGATAACGTCGTTATTGTTTGTAATTAGAAGGTAGCAGCATTGCTGGTGATAATGTCGGCTCTAGACTTCTCTAGTATCTAAAACATCCCAATTATAAACCAAATATCAGCTAAAATTTTATTTTGTAACTTTCTTTTTACATATCAAATGAATCTAATATAACCCATAATAAAAAGAAAAAAGAAAAATATCAATTAAAAATATTTAAAAAATATATATTTTTAAGTAAAATCAAATTTAATCCCAAAATACCCTTCCCCTGAATTACTTCAATTTTTAATTTTTTTTATCCAACTCAAAACAATAAAAAAATTCACATGCGAATAAAATGAGACTAAGACACCATCATTTTTTTTTATTGGGATAAGGAGACGTTTTGATGATTTTTTTAATACCTTTTAGATATATATATACAAAATTAAGGGAAAATATGGAATTTGAATTTTTTTTAAATTATGTGAGAATTTTCAAAATCTATAAGTAGCAACATTAATCCGCTATTGAAAACTAAAAACGGTTTTGGATTCGAACCATTCCAAACAAAAAATCCAGAAAAAATTCCAGCACAACAACAAAAAGTGTTCAAACTTCATTATTTATTTATTTTTCTTAGCTTAGAGGACATATGATATTATAGTAATTTACAAGATGCCAAATTTTTTTTTTCTTAGATACAAAGTTACGGGGAATATACGGAATTTGATTATTTTTTTTAAATTTCAAAATTTACCATCTTTGATGATGTACATAAATAACAAATAAACAAGATTAGAAAACAAATTGTTTCATAATCGGCTTTTGAAAAGTAAATATCAAGTTACGTTGCTCTTCTTCAAAATAAAGATTTGAATGAGTTCAACATTAGTCATGATCAAATAATATTACCTTAATTTTATTTATCGTGTCAAATAATACAATAAAACGAAAAAATTATTCAAAAAGTATCTGAATAGAATGCGTCGTAGATAACTACATAGATAGTACTCGATTTTGTTGTTGAGTCAGTAAAATGCAGCTTAGCATCTTTAGATTAATAAATTGGATGCTATTAATAGTGGGAAAATACTTTAGTATCCAATTTGTTGATCTAGAGATGCTAGACTGTATTCTACAAACTCAATAGTAGAGTCGAGTACTATCTAGGTGATTGTCTACGGACCATTTCATTCGGGTATTATTTTTGAATAATTTTTTTCGTTTTATCATATTGTTTGACATAATTAATGAAGATTAATATAATATTATTTGTTTATAAGTATAGAAACGTTCTTCACCATTTGATATCGAGACTTTTAAGGTTAGAAAATATTTATATCAGTTAACATTTTTTTATCGTTTGATTAACATTACTAATCAAATATATTGTAGATTTTTGAAAACAATGCGCTATGTGGTGACGATTTCTACACGTTCATTGATATAGTACATTTGGACGCATGCATTGTTTGAAGAACTTCTTAACAAATATGTGACTTTTGACAAAGTGTAACAACTACGTAATAAAATATTAAGAGTATATCAACAAAATGATTGTGTCTTAGTTGTTTCATTTTGTCGGGAGTTTCATATTTGTTAGGATGTCATTCAACAATGAAAGCGTCAGGTGTACATACAACATTAATAAACGTGTTGAATCTGTCTCTATCTAGCATATTGTTTTCGAAAATTTCTAATATATTTTATTATTAATATTAACCATACGACAAGCAAAAAAAATCTATTGATCTATATATTTTCTAACTTTAAAAATCTCGATATCAAATAATAAAGAGTGTACAAAATGTTACTGTACATTTTTGTTTTGTCATGAACAAATAATATTATATTAATTTCTATTTCTCGTGTCAAATAATACAATAAAACGAAAAAAAGTTATTCAAAAAGTATCTGAATAGAATGCGCTATAGATGACCTAGATAGTACACGACTTTGCTGTTAAGTCCGTAAAATGCAACTTAGCATCTTTAGGTTAACAAATTAGATACTATTAATGGTGGGGGAATAACTTAGTATCCAATTTGTTGATCTAGAGATGCTAGACTATATTCTACGGACTTAATAGTAGAGTCGAGTACTATCTAGGTGATTGTCTACTAGGCATTCCATTCGGATATTTTTTTGAATAATTTTTTTCGTCCTATTGTATTGTTTGATATGATTAATGAAAATTTTTATCGTAGTCTAAATTTTAACTTCTTTCCAAAGTATGGAGTGTGTTCATACGTCTAAAAATCAAAACTCAAAATCATTCGTTACTAGTAAGACATTGAAAATAAGTCAATTGAATATTTAATTCACCTATACTCGTAGACTAGGAGCTGTTGGTGAAGATTATTTATTTTGATGCAATCATTTTGTTGATGTGTTCTTATCATTCTAGTATGTTGGTGTTTCATTTTGTGAGAGTTTCATATTTGTTAGGATGTCATTCAACAATGAATGCGTCAAGTGTACAACATTAAGAAAAAAAATTTCTATGGTTTCGCGTGAGATTACTGTTACGATAATCGTGCGATAAAATGAATAAAATAGATAAGTATTCAAATTTGGTTTTTGCTAATAAAAAACTTGAAATAAATTTGTTTTTAATGTAAACACCGTATTAAGAGGAAGTACAAAAGAAAAAACTTGGACTTTGAGTTATGTCAGATTTAAAAAAACCATGGATAATATATGAAGAACGCACATTTAGATAGACAAGTTTTTTTAAGTCTGATAAATTGTAATAAATTGTCACCGGAGATGTTAGAGAAATTCATATGTAAAACAAGAGTTATTTACATGGTGTTTTCAAAATGTCAGAAGATAGTTTTATGGCGTTTATTATTATCTGAGCATTTCACAACAGTGTTCGAAGTTACGTTATAATATACATGTCGAAAAGAGTATACGATTCCAGATCAGAATGTGGTCAAAAGATTTGACGTATCGAGTGATGGTGAGAGGATAAAGGAGAGTTAAAAATCAACATCTACAATAACAAGAGCGATAGAGAGCACTTACGTGGCAGGATCGCGTCAACAGAAGAGCGCGAGTGGATAGATGTAAGGATTGAGAAGAGAGAGGAGGTAGGTTTTTAGACTTGCCCGAATCTAACACGGGACTAAATTTGACTCTATACAACATTAATATTTGTTAGGATGTCATTCAACAATGAATGCGTCAAGTGTACAACATTAATAAACGTGTTGAATCCGCCATCCAACGTATTTTTTTCGGAAATTTCTAATATATTTTATTATTAAAATTAACCATACGATAAGCAAAAAAATGTCTATCGATCTATATATTTTCTAACTTTAAAAGTCTTTATAATAAACAATAAAAGAGTGTACAGAATGTTTTTGTAGATTTTTGTTTTGACATGAACAAATAATATTATCTTAATTTTATTTATCATGTCAAATAATACAATAAAACGAAAAAATTATTCAAAAAGTATCTTAATGGAATGCGTCGTTGATAACCACATAGATAGTACTCGATTTTGTTGTTGAGTCTGTAAAATGCAGCTTAGCATCTTTAGATTAACAAATTGGATGCTATTAATGGTGGGAAAATAATTTAGTATCCAATTTGTTGATCTAGAAATGCTAGAATGTATTCTACAAACACAATAGTAGAGTCGAGTACTATCTAGGTGATTGTCTACGAAGCATTTCGTTCGGGTATTATTTTTGAATAATTTTTTTCGTTTTATCATATTGTTTGACATAATTAATGAAGATTAATATAATATTATTTGTTTATATTTAAAAAACTATAATGTATAGAAACATTCTTTACCATTTGATATCGAGACTTTTAAGGTTAGAAAATATTTATATCAGTTAACATTTTTTTATCGGTTGGTTAACATTACTAATCAAATATATTGTAGATTTTTTAAAACAATGCGCTAGGTGGTGACGATTTCTACACGTTCATTGATGTAGTACATTTGGACGCATTCATTGTTTGAAGAACTTCTTAACAAATATGTGACTTTTGACAAAGTGTAATAACTACGTAATAGAATATTAAGAGTATATCAACAAAATGATTGTGTCTTAGTAAATAATCTACGCCAATAACTTTTAGTCTATAAGTATAAGTGAGTTGGATGTTCATTTAACCTATCTTCAATGGCTTAGCACCGAATGTTTTTGAATTTTGATTAATTCAACTTTTGGAAGTACGTGAACATTCTATATTTTGGTAGAAAGTTAAA